GCTGAGGACGAATTTTGGAAAATCAGGGAGAGGAAAGGGAGAAGAACTGGTGACTGTAGCCGAGAATCTCTGCCCACATCCCCTCACCTTTTCTCCGCCACCGCGTGCTGCCTGCCTGCCACCAGAGACTGGAACTGTGCCGGCCTGGAGAGAGCTGAGACCACCGTGCCACATGTGGGAGTTCTACCTTATCCTTCTACCCTGACCATATTTCTGAGGGCCCAAAGCTTCGGCTGAGCTGAGACCCTGGAGGGTCTGGGAAAGGGGTGTGAGTGGTGAAACTACACATGGTGCATTGCAGAGAACTAAAGCTGTCAGACCCCCTGCAGCTACAGAGACAACATCCAAAAGCTGCAGAGACAGGAAAAAAAAAGGGGCAGAAACTGCTACTCACCCACACACACAGACCAGCTCAGGGGAAAGGTGGCATGGTGGTATCTTCTCTCTGCTTTCAGACGTAATCGTAAGAGTTTTCCAACGTTTTCTTATTTTTTCCTCGTTCTTTTTGCACCTCTTAGCAATTAATAAAATCAAGTTTTGGTATCAACAGAAAACTTGTGTGAGGTTTAATTTTGCTCAAGGGAATATTCGAATCTGAAGCTCCATCTGCAATATTAAGGAAGACTATAACGAGGGACCATGGAAAAGTGGGAGGAACAGGGAGAAAGGTGGAAAAGGGGGGTGGTCTGGTGGATCCGGCAGTCCCATGGGGGTCTTTGGTACAAGGAGGCTGGAAAAGGGGGTGGCCCCCCTGAGCTCCCAACTGACTGTGGGGTGCTGGGGCTGCTGGATCCAATCTCAACCTTTGGGTTATGCCAACAGGTTCAGTTTAGAGGAATTACAGAGGTGGGACTGAACAACTTTTGTCCCCCAGGGTTTTAATGATGACAAGTCCAATCTATTGATAGAAATGAATTATTTAGGGTAACAAATGATCAGACAAAAGATCTTCATCAGAATTATTTACTGCACAATAGAAACACTAAAACTACCAGTAGTACAGCGTAAGATAGGACAGTGCTCTACACTAAAGTAATTGTGGAAGCAATTCTACTCAAGCTGGCATAAAACCAGAAAATATTAATTAAAAATGGATGGAACTCCCCCAGACCAACACTTGTGGGGAGATCTCTGCTCTCAACCTCCAGCACTGACCCTGGGGGGTCCCAGTCAAGGCAGGAATCTCCACACATCCCCCAGGAAGGGTTCTGTTGGTACAACCTGCCCCTGGCAAAGGGGACTGGCCCTTTCTGCTAGAAATGGATGGACTGACAGTCACTGGACTCCAGAGGTTGCCTCACCATCAGGGGGTCATTCGGGGTGGGAGCAGCGGCCGAAGCTCTTCCCGCAGTTGGGGCATTCATAGGGCTTCCCTTACTGGTGGGTCCGTTGGTGGGAGGTCAAGTGGGAGCTCTGGCTGAAGCTCTTCCCACACTCCCCACACTTGTAGGGCCTCTCCCCGGTGTGGATGCGCCGGTGGCCGACGAGGTGGGAGTTCCGGTTGAAGCCCTTCCCGCAGTCGGTGCAGCGGAAGGGCCTCTCATCCTGTGTGTATCCGCTCATGCCTGAGGAGAGCTGAGCTGGTCTTAAACTTCTTCCCACATTCCCCACATGTGTAGGGCCTTTCCTCAGTGTGGAAATGCTGGTGTTGAGTCAGGGTACATTTATGCTTGAAGCTCTTCCCACATTCCCTACACGTGTAGGGCCGTTCCTCGGAGTGGATGCGCTGGTGGCTGTGGAGGTTGGAGCTCTGGCTGAAGCCCTTCCCACATTCTCTACACACGTAGGGCCGTTCCCCAGTGTGGATGTGCTGGTGGCTGAGGAGAATGGACCTCTTCCTGAAGCTCTTCCCACATTCCCTACACGTGTAGGGTCGTTCCCCAGTGTGAATGTGCTTGTGGTGGATCAGGGTGGAGTTCTGAGTGAAGCTCTTCCCACATTCCCTACAGGTGTAGGGTCGTTCCCCAGTGTGGATGAGCTGGTGGCTGAGGAGCTGGGTGCTCACCCTGAAGCTCTTCCCACATTCCAAGCACCTGAAGGGCTTCTCCCTGCTGGGAGGCTGCTCAGGGACCACCAGCTCGGAGCTCCGGCTCAAGCTCCGGCTGCCTTCCCGGCACAGGACGGGTCTTTCCTCCTCAGAGCTCCCTGGGCTGGCTTTGCAGCCCCTCCTCCGGGGGCATCTCCGGGCCTTTTCCTCCCCGCTGCCTTCCTGCACCGGGGAGCCCTTCAAAACGGCCTCTCCCACCAGGCTCTGCCGGGGGGATTTGTCCTCCGTGCTCTCCGTCCTCAGCTTGGGGCCTGGGGCAGGAAGGAAGAACAGGCAGGGGATTTGCCTCCAGCCCAGAGGGAAGGTCAAGCACATCCCCCCCAAATTTGGTCCCCACATGCACCACAAGACAGGGCCAAAGGGGCACTGACTTCCTCCTCACCTGCCTGGGGGGCCTGCAGCTTTTTCCTCATCCTCGCAGCCTCCTCCTCCATCCACCCAAGCTTTGGGAAGGACAAATCCTGCTGGAGAAGAAACAAGGGCTGAGTGCATTGGCTTGGGGGTTCCTCCTGCCCAAGTCCATCCCTAGGACTCACTGGGCATCCTGGGACCATAAAAACCTCCAAAACATAACGATTCAGCCCAGAAAAACCTAAAGCACTGATTCAGAGAGAAAACCCAAAACCACTGAGACTGAGGTAAAAAACCTCAGAAATAGATGAATCCCCTCGGAAACTTCCGAAAGTTAAGGTTCATCCAAAACATGAAGATTCATGCCAAAACAATTGTCCCAGGTGTTCCCCCTCTCTGGTCTCTACCCTCGGGGGTTTACAGGGTCTCCCCTGTCTGGGATGTCAGGGGTTCCACTTCAGGATGCTGGGAGTGTTGGGGGTCCAAAGGGTCTGTTCTCTGACTCTCGCTTTTGGGGGTGCCACCTTCCCAGATATTCCCCCAGGAAGGGGGAACTTGTCCCAAATAGCCTGGGGGGAGCACGGGGGTCGTGACATCCTTGGGCTGCGAGCACAGATTTCCCTGCAAAGTCTGCAGGGAGTCAGTCGAGCTCTGGAGAGCAGATTGTGCCCCAGGGATGGGATTGCAGAGGGGCCCCCAGGTCCCCAGGATGAAGTAGCAACCAGCAGTAGACACAAAAAGGTCCCCCCAAAGATCTTGGGGGCAGTGTCCTGCAGGGAGGGGACAGTGTCACCCCATGAGGTGGCCGAAGAGGCTTCATGCTCTGCTCGGCCCCATCAGTGGCTGGGACCAACACCCCGTCCTCGTGGCCAGCGGCTCTTTCCTGCCCCAGCCAAGAGGTTCCCGGCCCCCCAGTGCTCCCCTGGGGCTGTCCCTGCTCCTCCCTGCAGGCTCCGTGGCCGGGCACACTTTGTGTTCCTGGGGGCCACCAGCTCAGCAGCTGCAGCCGCTCCAATCAGCGCCCGCAGCTCTGCAGCAAAGCCCCAGCTCACCTGGCACACAGGGCATGGACACAGCACCTTCTCGCTGCTGGGCACTCCCAGATCAGCCTCTTCCCCAGCACGGGGCTCTCCTGCCTCAGCACCACCTCTGCCTTCCACTTCTTCTCAGGGCCACCTCAGGGCCAGCTCTGGGCTCACCTCCGGGCCATTGCTCAGGGTCACCTGGGTGGGAGAGGAGGGGCAGCACCACAAGCAGGTGAGTCCTGAGACCCCCCTGGTGTCCCCAATGTCCTCAGGGCCTCCCCATGGCCCCAATTCCCCCCTTGACGCCCCCCATTCCACTGTCCTCAAACCCCATCCCAAATGTCTCCAACCCTTTATCACCCCCCAGGAGCCCCCTCTGGACCCTCTGACCCCAGACCAACCCCCGTTCCCCCTTCACACTCACAGAAAATTCAACGACATGTGGAGAGACACTGGGGACACTTGGGGGCTTTGGGGGGTAGTGGGTGATTACTGGGGGATACTGGGACACACTGGGGGGAACCAGGGGGCACTGGGAGGGACTGGGGGTTATTGAGGGACTACCGGGACACACGGGGGACACTGGGAGGTTACTGGGCCATACTGGGGGTTACTGGGTGCTCACTGGAGAATCATTGGCAATAGTGAGGGGCAGTGGGAGGTCACTGGGGGGATTGGGTTACTGGGCCATACTGAGAGCCACTGGGAGGTCACTGGGCTATACTGGGGGCACTGGGGGGGCACCCCCACAAGACTTTGGGTGGCACCCCCAGGACCCCTCCCCTGAGGACTGCGAGGCCCCTTGAACCCCACTGATTGGCTTCTGGGGACCCCCTGGATCCCCTCCGTGTGGGGTCTCTGTGTGCTGAGTTTTGGGGGTCTCTGGGGTTCGGGGATGCATCAGGACCCGCTTTCCCTGCGGTCGGTCCGCCCAGCCGGAAGGGGGAGCTGTGGCACGAGCGGCAATGGCGGCGCCGCGCGAGGCCTCATGGGAGTTGTAGTTCGCTCATGGGGACTCCGCCGGCGCGCCTGCGCAGTGCAGCCATGGCGTTTAAACCTCTCTCCTGAGGGGGTTCCATGGCCCCAGCCCTTTCAGGGACCCCCTAAACCCCTTCAGGCACCTTCACCCCCCCCTCTGAGCGCCCTCAGGACACCAAATCCCCTCCGCGACCCCCCGACAGCCCCTCACGGACCTCGAAACCTCCTCGGGAACCCCCGAGCCCCTCCTCTCCACTCTACCGAGCCCTCCAGCCTTCCCGCCCACAGCCGCGCTCCCCGCAGCCCCCGAGCGCATCCCCAGCCCCGCCGCAGCTCCCACAAGGGCTCACAAAGTCGGAGCAGATTCCGCTGTCGCCGCCATCGCTTTCCCGGCAGCCACCGCGGGGCTGTGCGCGCACCGCCGGCAGAGACCCCGCCCCCTTTTCCGCGCGGGGCACGCCGGGAGTTGTAGTTGCAGCGGCTCAAAGCTCCAAACTCCCCCAGACTCAATTCCCCACGGGCGTTCCTGGGGCAGAGCGGGGCAGAACCGGGGCGGGGACGGGACGGGCATTGGGTGGAAATCATTATAAAAACTGTAACCCCTGCGTTGGAAGGGATGGGTGTGGGTTTGTATTCCTGGAGCTGGAGGCTCATGACAACCTCTGCTGCTCCTCTGATCTCCTACGTAGTTGGGCCTGGAGTCTTTTCCTCTGCAGCCTTTTAGGGAACAACGTTTATGGGGTTTATGAGGACATGGCCTTTATGAGGAGAGTCTCTTATGAGGTGTTTGGGCTTTCTGAGGACAGCACCTTTATGACCTGCATGGGCTTTATGCAGAGAGATCTTTTAGGATGAGAGCTCTGTCATGAGGTGTGTGGGGTGTATGAGGACAGTGCTTGTATGACATTCATGGTGTTTATGAGGGCAGAGCCTTTATGAGGTTTATGGCATTTATGAGAACATCTCCTTTATGATGACAGCCCCATGAGGAGGTTTATGGGCCTTATGACGACAGGGGCTTTATGAAGCCTGCACCATTCTGAGGTGTGTGAGGGTTATGAGGACAGTGCCTTTAGGAGGCTGTACCATTATGGTGTGGATGGGTTCTATGAGCACAGAGACCTTCTGAGGCCTGCCCATTGTGAGGTGGATGGGGTTTATGAGGAGAGAGACTTTATGAGGAGAGACACTCTAGGATGGCCCCTTTATGAGGTTTAAGGGCTTTATGAGGAGAGCACCATTATGACATCTAAGGGTGTTGTGAAGACAGAGCTTTCATGATGAGAGCTCTTTTATGAGGTGTTTGGGCTCTATGAGGCCTGCACCATTATGAGGTTTATGGGCTTTATGAGAGCAGTGTCTTTATGAGGCCTGCACTTTTATGAGGTGGATGGGGTTTATGAGGGCAGAGCTTTTATGACGTTTATGGGGTTTATGAGGACATGGCCTTTATCATGGGAGCCCCTGATGAGGTTTATGGGCTTCATGAGGACAGCACCATTATGACATGTATGGGCTTTATGCAGACAGAGCTTTTATGATGAAAGACCCATTATGAGGTTGTTGGACATTATGAGGACAGGGGCTTTATGGGGCCTGCACCACTATGAGGTGAAGGAGCTTTATGATGCTGGAGCCTTTAGGAGGTTGTGGCATTACTGAGGTCATCGGCTTTATGATGAGAGCCCCATGGTGAGAGGTATTGGCTTTGTGAGGCCAGTGCTTTGATGAGGCTGCACCATTCTGAGGCGTGTGGGGTGTATGAGGAAATGGCCTTTATGATGAGAGCCCCATTATGAAGTGCATGGGCTTTATGAGTCCTGTTGCCTTGGAGTTTTGATTTTTAGGTTTTGTAGATTTTAACAGTAGTTGTACAGGAATTGTAGCTTTTAACGTAGCTGCATTTTATCCTTTACCCTTAACACAGTAGTTCCACAGAGCCAACCCTGTTCCCCAACTCCCATATCAATCCCCCTAAATTCCATTGGCCTGTTTAGTCTCATTTTCAAGGTAGAATTGTAGAGAACACCCTAAAATCTGTGCAAGGAGCCATCCGAGGGGCTGGAAGCCAGCAGGGTCCTGAGGGAGACAGAACACCAGCAGAGCCCTTCCCATGCTGAGCAGGGCCTTGTCATCAGGTGTCTGCTGGGGGGTTTTGTTCAATATTTGTTGATTCAAATCCAAGAAATGAAGGGTAAACAGAGCTTTGTATACTTGAGGTGTCACATTCCCCCCTTTTTGTTTTAAAAGTATTTGTTTTAAATACAGAACACACATTTCTTGCACCTGGGTTAGGCACAAGTGAAAACACCACATTAATGGTTTATTTCTCTTTTGTTTCCACCCCCTCTTTTTTTTTTCTTCCTTTTTCTTTTTTTTTATTTCTTTTTTCCTCTTTTTTAATTTTTTTTAACTTTTTTCCTTTTTCCTTTCTTTTTTTTCTTTTTATCTTTTTTGCTTTTTCCTTTATTTTTTCTTTCCTTTTATCCTGTTTTATTCAATTTTTCTTTTTTTTCCATTGTCTTTCTTCTCTCTTTTTTCTTTTTCTTTTCTCTTTTTTCCTTTATATTTCTTTTCTCTTTTTTCTTTTTTTATACTTTTCTTTTCTTTTTTCCATTTATCTTTCTTTTCTCTTTTTTCGTTTTTACTTTCATTTTCTTTTTTTTACTTTCATTTATCTTTCTTTTTTCCTTTATCTTTCTTTTCTATTTTTTCTTTTTTTACTTTTGCTTTCTTTTTTTTTTTCCTTTGTCTTTCTTTTATCTTTCTTTTATCTTTCTTTTTTCTTTCCTTTTTCCTTTTCTTTCCTTTTTTTTTCCTTTGTCTCTCTTTTTTCTTTCTCTTTCTTTCTTTTTTTTCCTTTGGTTTTCTTTTTTCTTTCTCTTTCTTTCTTTTTTTTCCTTTGGTTTTCTTTTTTCTTTCTCTTTCTTTCTTTTTTTTCCTTTGGTTTTCTTTTTTCTTTCTCTTTCTTTCCTTTTTTTCCTTTGTCTCTCTTTTTTCTTTCTCTTTCGTTCCTTTTGTTTTCCTTTGTCTCTCTTTTTTCTTTCTCTTTCTTTCCTTTTTTTTTCCTTTGTCTCTCTTTTTCCTTTCTCTTTCTTTCCTTTTTTTTTCGTTTGGTTTTCTTTTTTCTCTCTTTCTTTTCTTTTTTTTCCTTTGTCTTTCTTTTTCCTTTCTCTTTCTTTCCTTTTTTTCCTTTGTCTTTCTTTTTCTTTCTTTCTTTCTTTCTTTTTCTTTCTCTTTTTCTTTCTTTCTTTCTTTTTCTTTCTTTTCTTTTTTTTTCCTTTGTCTTTCTTTTTCCTTTCTTTCTTTCTTTTCTTTTTCCTTTCTCTTTCTTTTCTTTCTTTTTCTTTCTTTCTCTTTCCTTTTCTTTCCTTTGTCTTTCTTTTTTCTGTCTCTTTCGTTCCTTTTTTTTTTCCTTTGTCTCTCTTTTTTCTTTCTCTTTCGTTCCTTTTTTTTTTCCTTTGTCTCTCTTTTTTCTTTCTCTTTCTTTCCTTTTTTTTTTCCTTTGTCTCTCTTTTTCCTTTCTCTTTCTTTCTTTTTTTTTTCCTTTGTCTTTCTTTTTCCTTTCTCTTTCTTTCCTTTTTTTTTCCTTTGTCTCTCTTTTTCCTTTCTCTTTCTTTCCTTTTTTTTTCCCTTTGTCTCTCTTTTTCCTTTCTCTTTCTTTCCTTTTTTTTTCCTTTGTCTCTCTTTTTCCTTTCTCTTTCTTTCCTTTTTTTTTCCTTTGTCTCTCTTTTTTCTTTCTCTTTCGTTCCTTTTGTTTTCCTTTGTCTCTCTTTTTTCTTTCTCTTTCGTTCCTTTTTTTCCTTTGTCTCTCTTTTTTCTTTCTCTTTCTTTTTTTCGTTAATCTTTCTTTTCTCATTCTTCCTTTTATCTTTCTTTTTCCTTTATTTTCTTTTTTCTTTTTTTTCTCTTTTTTCTTATTTTTTTCTTTCTTTTCTGTTTTTCCTTTTTTCTTTCTTTTTTCTTTTTTTCTCTTTTTTTTCTATTCCTTTTTCTTCCTTTTCTCTTTTTGTTCTCCTTTTTTTTTCATTTTATTTTTCTCTTTTTTTCATTTTTCTTTGTTTTTTTTCCTATTTTTTCCTTTTTTCTTTATTTTTTCTTTTGGTTTTTTTTCTTTTTTTTTTTCTTCTTTTGTCATTTTTTCCTTTATATTTTTTCTATTTTTTTCTTTTTCTTTTTTCTTTTTAATTTTTTCTCTTCTTTCCCATTTTTTGCGTTTTTTTCTTTCTTTTCTTTTTTCTTCCTTTTTATTTTATTTTTCTTTTCTCTTTTCCCTTATTTCTTTCTTTTCCAATTTTTCCGGTTTTCTTTTTTTCATTCTTTTCTCTTTTTTCCTGCCCGAAGGAGGCTGTGGCTGTGTCCCCGTGGCAGGCCCAGGGTGGAGCAGAGTCCTGCTGGGGACCTGTGGTCCCTGCAGAGAAACCCCCGCGCTGCAGTGACTCGTCCCGGGTAGGACTTGTGAGCCCGGGAAGGGACCCACGGCGGGGCAGCTCCTCTGGGAAGGACTGCACCCCATGGAGGAGGGACCCAAGGGACAGCAGAGCAGCAAGAACTGCTGCCCCAGGGAGGGACTCACGCTGGAGAAGCCCATCAGGGACTGTCTCCCATGGGAAGGGACCCCATGGAAACAGGGGAAGGACTCAGAGCCATCACCCCCCCTGTAGCCTGGGGGGAAGACTTTGGTCATGCAGGTTGTGCCCCTGCAGACACAGAAGAGCATTGGAGTGCAGAGACCCCTTCACCCCCATGGAGAAGGGACCCCCAGGACAGTGGATTGGGAAGAGCTGCGGTTCAGGAGATGGACTCACTTTAACAGCGGCAAAAGACACATCTGGCTGGGACCTTTTTGCCCTTCCCCGACCTCTGCCCTGCTCGGGGGGAGGAGGGAGAACATGCAAGGAAGGAGGGGAGGGAAGGTGTTTGTTTAGGACTGGTTTATTTCTCACTTTTTAATTTTTAACCTGTTAGCAACAAATTTAAGTTCTATCCCCATTTTGAGGCTGGTTTGCTCATTAGTAAATGAGTCTCTCAGTTCTTATCTCTACCCAGAAATTCTTTAACTGTTTTCTTTCCTCTCCTCTCTGGAGCTGCAGAGAAGGGAGGAGGGAGGAGTGAATGGAGCAGCTCTTGGTGGGTATTTGAAATTCAGCCAAGGTCAAAACCCCTCCACCCCCACTATGGTTACAGACAGTGCCCATACAGCCTGGTCACCCCAGTCATTCCCAGTCGCTCCCAGTTTCCCCAGGAAGGGCCGGGACAAAAAGGGACATTGTCATTAAGGGTAAAGAACATCTTTGACTGCAGGGCAGGACATCCTCTTCAGCAGACCTGTGGAGACACAAATATCCCAACTCTGCCTCGCCAGTCACGGGTGAGATTCCTCATGGAGACATTTGACAGAGG